GACTATGGCATCATTCTCAGTGGTCCCCTTTGCACCAAACATGTGGCGCCATGGGATGATGCTTATAGTCTATGCTCTAAGTATTTACAGGTTCTCGGGAACAATTATATATAAAGTCATATTTGATGGGAACACAGGAATGTCTAAATACCCTGGTAACTCAGTTTTCCATGACAATAATGAAGAACCTAAAATAATTAACTTATAAAAGGAAAAGATTTATTTTGGCTCCCAGATTTAGAAGTTCCAGTCTATAATCAGTTGTACCTATTGCGTTGGGCCTGTGGCAAGGCAGCACATCATGACAAAAGTGTGTGGGTAAAGCAAAATAACACAGCACAGGCCAGCGAGCAAAGTGGAGGAGAAATACCTAAGATAATTAACTTATAGAGAAGAGGTTTATTTGGGTTCCACAATCCTTTTTTGAGGGCACACCTTCAGTGACCTAAGGACCTCCCACTAGGCCTACCTTTCAGAAGTTCTACCATCTCCCTGTAGTACTGTGCTGGGACCAAGCTTATGTTTGGATCAACACACTGGAGAGAGGTCCTCTTTACTCTTGCCTAAAGGTGAGGGGAAAAATATATAGGCCAATACTTATACTGTCTTTGGGATCATGCCTTATGGAACTGTGAGGAGTGGTGTTAGGTATTTCCAATGAGGAGGATTATTGTAATGAAGAATGTTGATTCTATATGAAAGGGTTTTAATTAACTGTCCTTACCCCCAAGGGGCACAGCATCTGGTTGCACTGCCAGCTTTTGTACCATTGAGCCCCTGCTTCTAACCTCTGTCTAGGAAGACCTGCAGCAACTTTCCATCTCAGGGAATATTTCTGCCTACATCCATGTGGCACATTTCCAGTAACAGCATGCTATCTTCTTTGATCTTCACAACAATCTGTGCTGCAAATGGGCAGGACAAGAATTTTTATTCCTGTTTTACAGATAGCGAATCTTGACCTTCAGAGGAGTGAAGTGCCTTCCCAGGATCACATAGGTAGTACAGGTAGGAATCAGGAGGTTCCACCTGCAAGAGAAATCCAAGGCTAATAAGTTCCCAAATACTATTTCAACTCAGGGCTAAGCCTACTGTGGGCTTTCCTTTTTGTCTTCCTCAGAGAGTCACTTACTTCCTCTAATATAATGTACTGAGACATGTACACTACCATAACATAGTCTTATGTATCCTTAATCAGAATAGAGCAGCCACAGAACGTAGAGTTCCAACAGAGACAGAATAGTGAGCAAGTAGGGGTTTCATGCACTATGAGCCTCCCGGGCACTGTTAAACATAGAAGGGAAATCCAGTTTGCCTTCATGCTCCTCAAGGTACATGGAAGCCTTTTGTGGAACTTTGGTTTAAGGGCTTCTTCCTATCTTGCTTCTTAGCCCGTATTCTTTGGGGACTCTAATTTATTTATATATCAAATATTTAATGAGCATATACTTGTGTGGTCACCATTGTGTTCAAGGCATGTTTCCAAATACTAGCATTTTGGTGACACACTTGAAAATGAGTGCACAGTAAATAGCACCCTTTTCTCCATTGTAACCTAGTTCAGCTCTAGGTTAAAGTTACAGTAGCTCTTGACTCAGAAGGAAAAGTTCTTGTAGGCTTCAACATCAGTAATAATAGTGATGGTGGGAGGTAGTATTTGCATAGTTTCTAATGTGCCAGACATTGTTGTGAATGCTTATGTGAATTAAACATATTTTATCTTGTAAAAACTCTAGTGATATATTATTACTATCCCCATTTTACAGGCAAGATAACTGAAGTACAATGATTTTAAGATACTTTCAGAAAGTCACATCATACATCTAGTTTAGTAGCAAGATAAAGGTATTTTGGTTTCAAAGTTACTCTTGACTGCATTCCATGGCCTCTCATATGGGAATAATGATTTAGGCTTTAGCTCCTGCTTGATAGAAAGGCCATGTGTTCAACTTACACTCACAGGAAGTTGTATCCCTGTCTATATTGTGTCACATGACCACTCAGCTCTGATTGTGCTAAAAGATAACACCTTTTAAGTTCAATTAGAGCAAAAAGGTTTTGTACACTGACAGAAATTTAACCATGCCCCTGGAAGAGTCAAGGTACATTATCGTGCCTTTGAATGCTAGTTAAGAAGAACTACTTATCTGCCCAGCTACTCAGCTGTTAGTGTACAGTTTTATTTGGGAATAAATCTGTTATCCCTTTTACTCTAGCCTCCTAGATGAAAATCGAGAAGGCTATTTTACAAACAGCCATGATATAATACCAGAAAAGTATCGGGTGTGGTGTCACATGCCTATAACCCCAGCGACTTGGAAGGCTGAGGCAGAAGGATTGCAAGTATGAGGCTAACCTCAGCAACTTAATGAGACTGTGTCTCAAAATAAAAATTAGAAAAAAGACTGGAGGCATAACTCAGTGGTAAAGGACCCTTGGGTTCAATCTCCAGTAATCCCCCACACAAACAAAAAGAGAGAGAGAGAGAGAGAGAGAGGAAGGAAGAAAGGAAGGAAAAGAAAAGAAAAGAAAAATACGAGAGAGAGAGAGAGAGAGAGAGAGAGAGAGAGAGAGAAAGGAAGAAAGGAAGGAAGGAAGGAAGGAAAAGAAAAGAAAAGAAAAATACCAGAAGTTAAACAACATGCCTTTCTCCTTCTTGGCTAGTTTCCTCATGTCTTCTGTTCTAGAGAAAGATGACCTGTGAGTACCAGCTTCTTCAGCAATGTGCATGCCCTGTTGTCAGATGCCTGGGCCCCAGGAAGGTTATTCCAGTCTTCATTAAGTCTACACCATCTTATCTTGTAGGATATAACATGACCTAGAGCCGATGACCAAGGTTCTGGATAAACTCACCCTTGGCCTGCCTACCTTCTCTTTTGATAGAGAGGGAAAAAAAGGAGATGGGGATTATTTTAGAAATTTTGAACACCAAGTTTAAAAAATAAATCAAGCTAAGGGACTTGAAAGAAATGAAATTAACTCTCTTCTTTTTGCTTTAGTTTTGCAGAGGTTGACAGGGTGGATGGAGCAAGAGTGGTTTACAGCCATGCCATTCAAAAATATAGCCTACTGAATGGGTGCCAGTTCATGAACTTTTGCTAGTTCACTTTAAGGATAGAAATTGAGAGTTAGTACTTAGCAACTTTTGGAAACTTGTGTAGTAGTTTATATTTTTATTGTATTTTACCAGTATTTATGTGTAATAAATTAGGAATTTTAAGAAACAAAAAACTGGTCCTTCACCACAAATGATTTTGAGAGGTACTATTTTAAGTATGATGAAGTGGAAAAGAACCTCAATCTTCTTGTCTGTAAAATGAAATTAATAGTATCTGCCTCAAAGAGTTGTTTTAGAAATTATTTAATCATAAATAATACTTTGGGCACTTAATGTGTGCCTACCACTCCACTCTGTATGTATATTGTTTTATATACTTCTCACTGTACCTCTGAAGTAAGTATTATCTTCCTCATTTTTATGAGATTTTGTATAGGTTGTACAACGAGCTTGCCAGAAGATAACATGTAGTCAGTAGGCAGGTGGGATTTGAATATATACCATATGCTATATAAAGAGCCTACCTAGCACATAGGAGGTCCATCTCCCTACTTCTCTGTATCATCAGAAGTAGAAATCTATTTTCTAACTCCATCACTGACCCTAACTTATTTTGTTACCTTGAGCAAGTCCCTTTATCTGGACCTTAATTTTCTCATCCACCTTCTGTGACAGGAACTATATTTTATTCATCTTCAGTTATATAGCATCTGAGTTAACAGAGCCTGGCATATAATGGGTATTGAGCTCTGAAACCATTGATGCCATTAGAGGATCTCTGGTGGTTCTTTCAGTGTCTGCTTTCTCTGAACATCCTAGATACTTAATCCTCTGCCCTCCCTCTGGAGCATCATATTTCCCACATAATCCATCTGGCAGCATCTTATTTCCTCATGACTGTCTCAGACAGTCTTGAGACAGCCCACATGGTGCTGTGAAATATATCTAGGGAAAACCACCAGGGATAACACAAGAGGTAGAAGAGCTTGTTCAGAGTCAGGAAAGTGCTCTTATTCTATTCCTATTCAGCGGGGCCTAGGTCTAGGGCAGCCCTGCTGGTATCCCTGCCAGGCCTGAGTAATGGCCACAGCCTGGAGCAGGGTTTTCCATGAGCTGCGTCGGGGTCTCCAGTAATTGGAACATGGCACCTTCCGACTTATAATGGATGGCAGCATGAGAGGGGCATTTGTCACTGCCTGACTTCCCTGTGGGAAAGAGGCTCATAAGTCACAGCTGACAAACCCTTTGATGACTTTTAAACTTCATTTACAGAAAAGAATAGCTATAATCAACCAACAGCAAGTAGTGACTAATCTTGCCACATTATCACTGTGAGGAGCCAGGCCAGTAGGGCTTGAGAAGGGGGAGTGAGCCATCCCTAGGCTCACAGCACATGCTGATTGGCTCTTGGATTTGAGAGTGTACCCTCAGCAAGGCCCTATGAGTCTGTGCCTAAAGCCTGCAGGTACAGGGCTTGCCTAGCATTGAAGCCATTTTTGGGCCAAGGTTAAAATGATCAGTTCTGGACTCAAAACAGATTTGTCTCAGCTCTGCCATTTCCTGGGTTAAGTAGGACTAAGCACCAAGCCTTACTTTCCTCATGTGAATGGTCATAGCACATATCATCACCTGTGTCATAGCAAAAGGCTTAGTACAAATAGTAAGTACTCTTATTATGTTTATTCATTCAGCCCTCAAAGGACCTTTTGTAGGCATAGGGTCTAAAACCCAAGGTCATATGGCACATCTGCAAAGCCAGGAACCATTCTTCTTGGTTGGAGGGTATGGGAGTGGGGGTGGCATTGGAAGCATTTTGTGGAACAGGAAGAGCACAGGCTTTAAAATCAGAAAAGTTGGGTCTTTTGATCCTAATCATGCCACTTAATGTGAATGTGGATAAACTATTTGAGCTTTCTCTGAGCCTTAGTTTCTTTATCTCTAGAATGAAGGTGACACCATTTATCTCATTAGGATATGATCTGGATTATGAAGAATTATACTTCTAAAGCTTCCAACAGGTACCTGGTGTAAAGTTGTTGCATATTAGATTGTGTGCTCCCTTTTTGTACTCCCTTAAGAAAAGAATAAGTATGTATCTCTCAAAGAAATGGGAAATAACAATGATGGCATTTTTGTATTCTTTTTCCAGCCCTCTACCTCTGTGTTCTCTTTCAGGAGAAAGGAGGTGAATAGGGGGTCAAAAAAAGAAAGGGACACATTTTGTACATTGTTTCTGCAGTTCCTCCTGCCTGGCATAGCGTCTCCCTTTGTCAATATCCTGTGAGAATTCATCTTAGACACTGGGGGATCGGTATAATTTCTTTTATGCAGTTGGGGTATCTGAGGCTGCCCAGGTTAGGAGACATGGCCAGGGTGACAGCTTTTAAGTGGTAGGTCTGGATTTGGAAGTCAGTCGTATCTGACTCCAGAGCCTGTGCTGTTTTTGCTATTTTTTGTGTAATTTTCCTTTATTAGGAAACAGTCAAAAAACAGATTCCTGAAGAGAGGGCTTCTTAACAAGTGCACAAAGCCTATAAGCACTGTTTCCCAGGATCTCCATAGGGCCAGCACAAAGGAGAACACTTTAAGGAATGCTTATTGAATGAGTGAAGGGGATAGGAATTGGGCAATAATAGGAATAGGTATGATCTTATATCCTTTTGTAGCATTTTGCAGATGCATTAGCACTTTCACATTGATTAGCCTGTTTGATTCTTGCATCAGGTAAGAAAGGTAATTGGGGAGAAAAGGTGATGTCTGTTCTTTAGAATAATGACAATAAGACCCAGAGAAGTTACATGATATGAGGTCACATAACTTAGAACAGCAGAGCCAAGACTTCTAGGACTGTAGCCTGTACCCTTTACATTTCTACTTATTCAGGAACCCTCTGTGTGTGGCAAGCTGGGAGCTGGGGTTTCAGGAGCCAAAGAGCACTCCTGAGAAAATTAGTCCTTTTTGGCCAGTGATGATCATTTGGGCAATGCTAATGAGTAGGGGACTGGCAAGTTTAATGAGATTAATAGATGTTATGTCATCTCTGGCTGCCTGGTAACCAGGAATTTGTGAACCAAGGAGGGCCTGGACACTGATCTGTAAAATTACTTGGCTTTCTCCAGAAATAGGCTTCCCATTACTGATATCTGTTTTCCTTCAAAACTAATCAAATGTCCCTTGGGTTATCTGAGGGCAGAGGACTGGCCACAGGCTTCTGTGACTCTCATCTCCTTGCAAGAGAACAAAGCTAGAGTGTCAAGTAAGACTAAGAGAGAGGTTCTAAACAACCCTGGAGGCCAAGAGCAACAGTTTCTCCTTTGGGATCAGCATTGTGGGAGGGAGTCCAGTGCTGGGCAGTGTTTAAAGCCTGTGTTTGATCTGAAGGGAGGAATGGAAAGCACAGGAGAGACATAACAGAGACAAAGGCTTAGACATCTATTGAAACAGTGGCCGGTAGAGAGTTAGACAAATCACCTAGCTACTCTCACTAGGCGGTTGACCTTTAAGTAAGTCACTTAAATTTGCTGATCATCAGCTTCTTCTTCTTCTTCTTTTTTTTGATCCATAAAATAGGACTAATAATGTCAAGATAAAGGATATTGTCCTAGTCCTTTTATGCTGCTATAACACAATTGTGTGTTTATAAACAACAGAAATTTATTTCTCATGGTTCTAGAGACTGAGAAGTCCAATATTAAGGCACCAGCAAATTTACTGTCTGGTGAAGCCCTGCATACCAGTTTAGGAATAGCTGTCTTTTCACTCTGTTCTCACATGGTGGAAAAGGCAAGGCATCACTCTGGGGCCTCTTTTGTAAGGGACTTGGCCCTCATGACCTAATCACCTCCCTCCCCAAAGACCCCATTCTTTTTCCCTTAGATAACCCTGAGGACACCTGGGTGATTTAGAGGGAAAAAATCACCCATCAATGAATGATGGGAAGCCTATTTCTGGAGAAAGCCAAGCAGTTAGCAGATCAATGTCCAGAGCTTCCTTGGTTCAGAGGCTCCTGGTTACCAGGCAGCCAGGGATGACAGAACATCTATTAATCTCATTAAACTTGCCAGGCCCTGGCTCTTGTATATTATCACATTGGGGATTAGGTTTCAACAAAGAACTTGAGGAAGAAGGTGTGCATATTCAGACTATAGTAGACATAAACTGGCTTTGTTTATGAAAATCTTGTGCAAATATAAGGAATTGTAGAAATGGGGAAGAACTAACTCAGGGTAAGTATTCTAACCATTGAAATTAGTACCCAAATGAGCGTCTATGCATATGTAATTTTGCCCTTATATATCTTGTCAAAAAACAGACCTGAGTTCCAGTTCTGGCTTTGTTCTGTTAATCAGCTAGCTACCTCTCTTGAGTCTTGAGTTATCTAAAACACCTCCTCAGAAGCTGTTGTGAGGATTAAATGAGGTGGGATGTGTAAAGTCTCTGACACAGCATTGGCACTTGGAATTAGACGTTCTTTTTACTGTGATGGCTCCTCCAGGTCTCATTTACCCAAAGTTTAGTGGTAGAGGTGCCTTTTGGGGCTTTTCTACCTTTGTAAAACTGTCACATTTCTACATGTTGAGGCTTGGCTCCTGACTTCTGAAACATAGTTTCCATCTCAAATGTTTCAATTGGGAAAAATGATTAGTTTTTGCCAAATTTCTTATGTTCTTACTAGCCTGGAAAAGCCAGTCCTTCCTTTTTGAGTTGTAAATTGCATTTCAAAATCTTTGCCCCTGGTGGGTTTTAATTAGCTTTAGGCTCCAACTTTTATGCAGCAGTTGTTTCTTCAGCAGTAAGGGTAAGGACATGTACCTGGCTGGTGGCCCCTAGTTTTCTTCAGCAGTTTTTTGAGATGCTCTGCCTTTTTCAATCTCCTCACTATCCTGGGGGCTCTCTCTAACTAGCCTAAAAGGAAAAATGGAATATAAGAACCCTAGGCTTGGAATCAGGACCCCTCAGGATACTCTTGGCCTTGCTACTCACTAGCTGTGGTATCCTGGCCAAGTACCTTTCCTTCTGTTCCTCAGAGTGAGGGCATATGAACTCCATGCTCGCTAAGTCTCTCTTTATCTGACATTATAAAAATCTCTAGGAACAAATCTGGTTTTTCCCTTCCTCCCTTCCTTCCCTACTAATACCAAGAACAATCTTGTCATCCATCTGTCTTCTCTCATTTCTAAGCAGAGGGCCTCCATTGTTCCACACAACTTACTCTCAATTACACAGTTAATCTCTGTGACAAGAGATTGGCTCATAGAGTGGGAAATAGCTTACAAAAGTTAAGCAGCTTTTGCTCAATAGGATATCAATATTATTTTAGGGTTTATACCCACCTCTAAACATAGGAAGAATTAGGGGAGTGTATCAAGTTGGGAGGGCTTGGTTTTGTAGAGGTGGGTATTTGAGTCAGAGGAAGAATGTGCCTGGGACCCCTGCCCCAGTGGTCCTAACCATTTAAGGCGCGCCACAACAAACCCTTCTTCCTCCCTAGTATTAATTGAGTACTTGCTGTCTCCATGCTCTGTCAAGTCTGCCTCTTACAAACTGATATTTATATTTATAACTACCTAGAAGTCATATATGGATTTAAACTTATTGGACCCTTAGGAATTCTGCATTAAACCTGACAGGGAGACCCAGTATTGGGCCTACCTCCTTTTTATTTCCTACTCCCAGCTCCATCTCTCATTTGAGATGCCTCATGGACATGTTTTTCTGCAATCCCAGAGAAATCTATACTTTCAGGCTTAGGGAGTCTATTTAGCAGCAGCATAGCCTGCCCTCCAAGGGTTTTTGCCTTTAAAAATGAGGGCTATTTAAATGGGAGACTCAGGGGTTGGGTACCTACAGCATGCTCCAGGTGGGCATTTCTCCTTGGCCCTGCAAATTTCTCACCTAGAGCAGCCACATGTGCAAGATAAGATAGAGAATGTGCTCCTATCTGACCTTGATCTCCTAATCAAGAATGAGCCCACAAGTAGCAGCATTAGAATAAAGTACCTGTAGTCAGAATATTTACTAGATCTTATAAAGGACTTGACAGCTTGCAGAGTTCTTTTATGTACATTGCCCAAACCCCAGGTGTAAGAGAAAAGACTGAGTAGGGACCAAACCTGAAAGATTGCTCAACAGTGAATGTGTAAGTACTGAACCCTCCATAGTACCTAACACGGGTGTGCAGCAGATGCTTCCTGCTCAGTGATGTTAGAGAGTTCTGGCAGAGGTCTGAGGAAATCCACAGCCGTTATATCCTTGCCAGGTCAATGGCAGTCAGCAGTCATCAACAGATCTCTGTACTATCATGTCTCTCTCTCCCTCTCCCTCATTGCTTTATGAATGTTGATGATTGGATGTAAAAGTACACTGAGAAACAAGATTCTGTCTTTTCCATGTCAATTCCAAAACTGGCACTAGCTCCTTTATATCAGTAGCAGTGATGGCACTGCCTCACCTCATCTCCATCGTCCCTGTCACTTGCTTAAGAATGGTACACCCCAACCCCAGTGTATTCATTTGAGTTTGCAATAGCAAACCTACCACTGGGCATATTTCTTCCTCAGAATGAAATTCTGTTAGATTTTCTTGTAAACAGAGCCACCTGCTGGTCAGAACATGCTAATTTCTAGGCGGGGAACATTTAGGAGAAATAAGGGGTCTCTTACTGGAGTAGGATACAAGATAAACATATTTTCCCAGCTTACATTCTTTTCTAATTCATTGAAAAGAAAACCCCTCCTCTCTGCCCCAAATATTAGGTAATAGGCTGGTAGGTTGACGAGAATTTTTACACATTCTGCGTGGGTGCTCTAACACCTTCTGAAATGGCCTTAGGAGAGATTGAGAATAAGTTGAAACTACTCGTGCCAGTGAACAGAAGTCAAATGCCGAGGCTTAACTCTAGGCTTTTCCTGCTGAAATTGAACCTCCTCCTCTTCTCCCTGGAGCCCATGCTGAATGACCCTTTGGGGTAAAAGACATGCCAAAATCTAGAAAATATTTACAAACTTATCTCTAAGCCAAATGGAACACAATTTGAATAAAAAAGTATCAATATTTAAAACAGTTTTAGGTAAATATGCCACTTTACTATGGTATTTGAATTGCCTTTACTCTGGGAAACAAAGTGATGAAGCTGACAGAAATGAGCTTAATGGGCCAACTGATCTGGGTTTGAGCACCTGTTATTGTCAAGTTAATGATCTCAGCAGCATCTCCATTTATGGTAAAGTTGTCATCATCGTCACTACGTCCATGTCTGGATCAGAGAGCATATGATATTGTTCTAGAGAAAATATTATTTGTAATTACCTCTTTGCTATGGTTTTACATTGAAGGAACGGAGGGGAGAAACCTGTGGAACATCTTTAAATTTAGATTCCAAAAGGGGTTACATTTGAGATGAGTATTAAACAAGGTGTGGGCTTAAAAGAATTTGCATCAGGTATACTTGTCAATCTCAGCCCTACTGAAGTGCATGATGACTTCTGAAGGTTAGGTTCCTCCCATGTACAATATTGTGGTTCTACTTAGGAGAGTACCAAATGAGGGAACATTTTAAAGCACCCATCATAAGATCAGCAGCCAGTATGTGGTAATTCTTGGTAATATAACAAGAAAACAAGATAACAGAAACAGGGAGGCTGGTTGCAATAGGGGTGGAACTGTGTAGGAAGGCAAGGAGCAGTCCAGTTTAGTCTGGATGTGTCCATAAGCAGCCCTTGAGCCCAGCCCTGGGACTCAGTCTCATAGTTGCTCTCTTTCTCTCTCTCCAGGTTGGCATCATGTCCTTGAAAATCCAGACAAGCAATGTAACCAACAAGAATGACCCCAAGTCCATCAACTCTCGGGTCTTCATTGGAAACCTCAACACAGCTGTGGTGAAGAAGTCTGATGTGGAGACCATCTTCTCCAAGTATGGCCGTGTGGCCGGCTGTTCGGTGCACAAGGGCTATGCCTTTGTCCAGTATGCCAATGAGCGCCATGCCCGGGCAGCTGTGCTGGGAGAGAATGGGAGGGTGCTGGCTGGGCAGACCCTGGGTAAGTTAAGCCTCTCTGCACAGGGCTCAGTTTATAACTCCAGAGTAGTTACTGTCTTTTGCCTTCCCTTTGTCCTCTTTCCCATCCCCTACCACACTTTCATTGCTCTGAGGTTTTATAATTCAATAGTTATAAATTATATTTAAGTAGTTATATTTAAGTTATAAATGAAGTAATTATATAATTGATGCCCACAGGAAAGAATTTTAGAAGCCTCTGGAAAAAACCACTTATGTCCTGTCCCTGCTTTCTGGTGCTTCTTTTTTTTTTTTTTAATGGCTTTATTTTTAAACTATTATCCCTACTACAAATGAGGCTTTTTTTTTTTTTTTTTTTTTGGTGGTGGTGGTGTTGGGGATTGAACCCAGGGCCTTGTGCATGCAAGGCAAGCACTCTGCTAACTGAGCTATATTCTCAATAACAAACTTTATGGTTCCAATAAAAATGCATATTCTCCAAAGAAGGGGACATATTGGACTAGCATAGTCTATTATTTTGATCTGTAGATGACTCAGACTAGAACTTTGAAAGCCAAGAGGAGGGATCGAAACAAAAAATCAAAGCGGGGCAGGTTCCCTTGGCCTTGGTACTACATACATGTGATAATATGACCATGCTGATAGTCTATCTTGGAGTATCTAATGTGTGTGTACATACTTCTATTTATATATGTGTGTATGATATATATATCCCATTGTGTTCATGAATACTAAGTATACAGATGTAATTGAACATGTGGAGAATATGTGGACACATACCTTTGAATGTATAGGTCCTAGTGTGTGTGTGTGAAAATATACTTGAATATGTAAGCACTTATGCATATATTCATTTACCAAATATTTGTTGAGTTCTTATGTATTATGTACTGCTCTAACCATAAAGATATTTGATGGGATGTTCATGAGAATATGCATTGGCTCCTTTGCATTTGAGCAGTTACATGTATGATATTGGGGTCAAGTCTGCGTGTACTTGAGAGGGCACATTTTATCTGTGACTTTCTTAGATATGTAAATGTATGTTAGGATTTGTCTGTGTTTCCATATACCTGATTTATATGTTTATGTAACTATACTTGAGAATGCACGTGTATGATGTACATGTGATTTGTGAATATGAATGTGTGTCTGAAATGTATATGAATATGTAAACAGGCATATTCATATGATACAAATATGCATCTAATATGCACCTAGTTTGAGGACTAAATATGTGAAGACTTTTGTTAGATGCCTCAGTACATTGTAAACATCATATAACCACATGAATACCTGTGTATCTACATGTATGGATACACTGCTATTAAGCCAATATTTTGACCTTGCCTTCTCCTTTTTCACAGACATCAACATGGCTGGAGAACCTAAGCCCAATAGACCCAAAGGGCTAAAGAGAGCAGCATCTGCCATATACAGGTGGGGCACTCTGTCTATCTGGATGGGGTGGGTCCCTCTTTCCACAGAGGGAGCAGATGCTGATAGTGTTGGAATGCTGAACCTAGAGCTTGGGAGACATTTGGAGATGAGGGCCTGTGAAGAGTAGGCTGAGTGGCCATTCCTAAGTTCTGGCCCTCTCCCCTTTGTTTCCCCAGTGGCTACAGCTTTGGCTATGATTACTACCGGGACGACTTCTACGACAGGTGAGCAGGGGAGGGGCGTGCCCAGGCATAAAACCAAGCTGGAAGGGTCCTGAAAGATTGCTGGTACAGCCCCACCAAAGTCCAGAAGTGTGGACAGGCATTTGCCCAAAGTTACTCCACAAATCAGTGGTAGAACTGGGACTAGGGTCCAATTCTTCAGGTGCCCAGGCCAGAGCTCCCACCGTCACATCACACTGGGTCACACTGTGATTGCTTTTCCTCCTCCTAGTCCTGCAGTGTGACTTGAAGGGACTGTAAAACCAAGGGACATAAAAATATAACTAGTTGGAATATAAACATAGTATAGGCCAGTTGCAGGGAGTTGTAGCCCTTGTAATTTGCTTTTTAGTCTCTACCTCTATGAGGTGCCTAACCAGCCAGAAGGAAATCCAGAGCTTAGTCTGAGTCTTTTGGTTTTATATTTATAGCCAAGAGGATAGGACCCATCTGGAGGTCTGAAATTTAGTCCCCTGTGGCTCACCCACCTTTTACTCCAAGCCTACCCAAACACCAGCTTTGAAGCTGTAGGCTCCCACTTCAGTGGCACCAGCCACATTTGAATAGAAGTTATGGTAAAGTGTAGCCCAATCTCTTTTCTTCCGTGCTTCCCTCCCTGTCTCCAATTTGCCGACCTCAGGCAGCCCAGGAAGAACACAACCCCTCTGAGCCTTGTTTTTTTCCATTTGTGAGTGATTTCAGGTTACACTGTGGTGTTGTAAAGTGCCATAACCTATAAGTCAGAAGGCTTAGGTGCTAATTCCAGCTCTGCCACTGAATGGATTATGGGATTTGGGGCAAATCTTCCCAGTCTGTGAAATGGGCTGTGCCAAGTGATCTCTTAGGGTTCTTCTAGTTTGGGGATTCTGTGGTTCAGTGATTCTGACCGAGGCCAGAGCCGCCCCCTCCCCTTGGGGGTAGACATGCAGGGTTCAGAAGTGGGTCCATTTCCATAGATTCTTCATTTCCAGCCATCACTATCCCCAGAGCAGATATTCCCTAAACAAAGGAGTGCTAAGGAATGGGGTATTGAATTGCCTAATGATGGTAAGTATCATGGCTGTCTTTAGGAAAATAGTACCAAAGAGTACCCTGGACCAAGGCTATTTGTGTTTACTACACAACAGTGTTAGTAGATGTAATAGGAAAGACTCCTACCCATCCTACTGTTTCTGCCTGGTGGGCAGGAAAAGAAGCCCTCCTAGAAAGGGCCAGATGATGGTGCTTGTGGGAACAGCATAGTCTAGGGCCCTAGCATCTGATTGAACTGTCCATATTTGATATGCTGTTGAGCCCCTGGTCTCCCTACTCTGAAATGGAGCAAGAAAGATATTATAGAGGCCCAGAAACAGAAAAGAACTTATGAGTCTAGCCTCATGTCTGAGTCTTGAGCTGGGGGACTCCTATCCTGGCTTTTGCCTATAACACTTTCTAATATGTGTTTTTAACCAGGTTCTCTTTATCCTGTACCCTCACAGCAGATTTGGATAGACACCGAAGTTGTATAGCCTTCCCCTCTAGGCAGGTGGAAAAACTGAGGCTAGGAAAGCTCTCAAGCCCTCACTTCCATGCCTTTCTGTCCCCACTGGGGATTTGTGCTGCTTTGAGATTTATAAGCTTTGACTAGAGGTTGGGGTGGCAGTTGACTGAGGAGAAGCCATGTAGTAGGGAAGATATGGGTGTCAGAGTCTAGGGAAGGCTTGTTTCTGGAGCTGTTTTTTCCTTTTTGGGGTGGGATATGAACATTTTCACCTGCTGCTTCTTCACCCTAACTTGGCCTGGCTGGCAGGACAGGTAGTTACAGTGAGGATCCCAGCAAATGTCAAGCCCTTCTCTTTACCCCAGGGCTTGTTGGGAGCAGTAGAGGTGTGTAGCACAGGCCTCCCAGACTCTCACCAGCCACTCCTGATAGTCTCAGGCTATATGCTGCAGCCTCTGTCCTGTTTGCCCTCACAGGCTTTTTGACTACCGTGGCCGCCTGTCACCTGTGCCAGTACCCAGGGCAGTCCCTGTGAAGCGACCCCGGGTCACAGTACCTTTGGTCCGTCGTGTCAAAACTACCATACCTGTCAAGCTCTTTGCTCGTTCTACAGCCATCACCACTGGCTCAGCCAAGATCAAGTGTGAGTAACTAAATTTTCTTCCTAGATATTTTATATATTTATCATTAGCAAAATAATAGAATCACATTTTTTTACATTGGAAAATAGATAAAGGAACAAATCTCCCACAGTTCTGCTGCTCTAACACAACGAAGTGAGTATTTTCATGCATTTCTCAGAGAAAAGGTTAACAATTAAGAAGGGGGCTTGGGTTGGGCACAGAGAGTCTAGTGCTGTGGCATGGAGCTCAGTGAGGAGATGGTGTTTTTTCTGCTAGTAAAAACAAGGACAGGTGTACACAGGCTTATTATTTCGCATTCACTTTTGATATTTACTTACTGTAATCAGGCACCCAGGAAATCTGATAGCAAAAGACTCTGCTTTCACACCTTGAAAGACAGGCTCCATCATCTAACACAACAAGGGGACATGTTTTTGCTCAGGTGTACAGGAGCATACCACAGACTTGCATTCCTGTTCATCCCCAGTCCCTTTCAAATTAAGAGGTCTGAGGGGAAGACAGCCAGGATGAGAAATGTGGGCTGATCACTCTAGGGATAGCCTGCAGTCAGCCTCAGGAAGAGCCCTTTTTCCTGGGCAGGAAAAGAACCAAAAAAGGAATTACTTTCCTAGCTGATAGAATGGGGCTGGGGTTTTGTTAGGGTCAAGCCCCCAGGTGACAGCCCTGTCCACCTTCCACTCCTAGTAAAGAGCAGTGAGCTGCAGACCATCAAGACAGAGCTGACGCAGATCAAGTCCAACATCGATGCCCTTTTGGGCCGCTTGGAGCAAATTGCTGAGGAGCAAAAGGCCAACCCAGGTCAGTCTCTGAGGTTTCTCACCCAGCTCAGTGACCAGGTGCACAGGACAAAGCATGAGGAATATAGTGCACCCGGGGGGGGGGGGGGGGGGGGGAGGGAGGAGAGGCTAGGGTGGCCTCCTTTCCCATACCCCTGCAGGTCCTAGTCCACCTGGACCTACTATGCAGAGGCATTTCTTGCAGGTTGAATTTTAGTCCTTCTTCCTCTACCCTTAACCCCCAAGATGGCAAGAAGAAGAATGACAGTAGCAGCGGCAGTGGTGGTGGTGGTGGTGGCGGCGGCGGCGGCGGCGGCGGCGGCGGCGGTGGTGGCGGTGGTGGCGGTGGCGGCGGCAGTGGTGGTGGCGGCGGCAGCGGTGGCAGCGGCAGTGGCGGCAGTGGCAGTAGCAGTGGCAATAGTGGCAACAGCAGCCGGCCACCAGTCCCCCAAGAGGATGCAGTTTCTGAGGCAGGCACGCCTCAGGGAGAAATCCAGACTCGAGATGATGGCGACGAGGAGGGCCTGCTGACACACAGTGAGGAAGAATTGGTGAGGTCTTGGACAGGGGCATGGCTAGGAGGGGCTGGGACTGAACTTGCACTCCTGGTGGCAGAAGGGCAATGGGGATGGGGAACCTCTGAGCTGGCTGACCCTCCTCTTCTTCCTAGGAGGTTCTAGTCCTTTGGGGAGGAGGAAAGAATGAGCCAGAGGCAATTATCTGTTTCAACTGTCCTAAGTTCTGCTGAGGACAGAGGCACATTTCAGCTAAGCCTAAAGCCTGTTCTGGTCTTCATTCTCCTTGTGGGTTAGAGAAAGGGAGAATTTGGCTCAAGGGGCACATACATGGCCTTCAGAATTCCAGAGAGAGAGCATTACTGGGGTTGCCTGGGGAAGCCACAGGGAGGTGGGTATCAGTTCCACATGAGGATTTTCCATAAGCCTTTGCTGCTTGAGCATAAAATAGGCTGTCTCATAAGGGAGTTAGTTCCTATCTACACTGGAAATATTCAGGCTAGGGAGCCATTGACAAGGATCTTACATTGAGTGGGAGGGTAGATCAGACTCAGAGGATATAAGATACCTGCTATATACTTGTTGCTCATTAACTTAATGATTGCCCATTAAGCACCACACCCTATAGTCCATACTTTCTAACTTGATTACTCTTAACAACAATTCTGTACTGTACAAAGTATTACTGTTCCCCTGTTTTACCTTTGAGGAAACTGTGGCTCAGGGGGGTCAGGTAACTTCCTCAGGGCCCTGGAGTTAATAAGGAGTAAAAGCCAGGCTTGGAGCCCAAACTTTTTTTTTGTATTAGGAATTGAACTCAGGGATACTTGACCATTGAGCCGCACCCCCAGCCCTATTTTGTATTTTATTTAGAGACAGGGTCTCTACTGAGTTGCTTAGCAACTTGTTCTTGCTGGGGCTTGCCATGAATCCATAGTCCTTTTGCCTCAGCCTCCCAACCCGCTTGGATTACAGGTGTGCGCCACCGGGCCCTGCTTGGAGGCCAAACTTACTCACTGGGTCTGGAGCTTCTTTTTATCACTGCTGGGCTCTTGCATGAGGACAGATGGGCTCGTAACCATAACAGTCAAGAGCTCCTCCTCATGCCTGACTTGTTTTTCTTTGAATCTAGCCTGATACTTCATCTTTTTTTCTTGGGTTTAGTAGTCTCCTTAAGGATCCTAATGAAAATTTAGATGCCTTCAAAGATGAGGTCCCACCAATCTTCAAAGCTCTCGGCTCGCTCTAGTCAAAGGTCTTTCTATGTAGAGAAGTTGCCCCCTGCCACTTCTACAGCTCCCATGACTGGTTTCTTTTTTTTCCTGAGGGGCTCTCATATTGTCCTTCCAGAATCATCAGCCTTATTGGCTGGTTCCATAGTCATTCCCCTTGGCTGCCCCTCCTCCTTTCTGACTATTCTCCAAATGTGCTCTGGGCCCCAGGATCTTATGGATAGGTAGAATCAGGGCAGAACTTAGATCTTGCCTTCAGTAATATGTGGTCTCTGCTTGCCTTCTCCCTATCAGGAGCACAGCCAGGACACAGATGCGGAGGATGGGGCCTTGCAGTAAGCAGGTATGGGGACCATGAAGGTGGGAGAGGGAGGGGAACAGTGAAGTGGAGGGCATGCCTTTTCCCTGGAGCTGGCCTAGAAGGGTAGCACTATGTTGAGGAATGAAAGCCCCTTCACATCCAGCATCTTGCCATACCACTCTGTGGTGGGAGCTTGGCAGGCTGAGGAAGCAGGATGTCATGCATAGCCACACCCATTCAGCAAGGGTTCCCTCAGCACACTCTGAGCCATGTTTCCTGTCTCCACCCTTGAGGAACTTCTAGTCTGGTGGAGGAAGATACAGACTAGATTAATTGCCACCCAGTATGAGCAGGATGACAATGAGGGAAGTCTAGCTGGAGGAAGAAACAATGTGTAGCTGAGCCTGCTCCTGATTAAGGGAGAAGCATTCCACTCCAAGGGAATAGCCTTAGCAGAAGTGCAGCACTGTGACAGTCCTTAGAGTGTGATGAAGCCAACGGACTCTCTCATGTTGCAGTCCAGTTCTACATAGTAGGGAAAGAACACTGTTCATCATCATAGGGTGATGACTGTGAAGCATCCTATGTGCTAGATTTAGGGGCTTAGGCTTGATCTTGTTGTGTGGGGGGGAATGGCCCTGTGGGACAGTAGGTGCACCTGCTTTGTCTGATTACATCTTTGGCCCTGCAGGGTTGAGATGTGGAAACTTAGTTACTGAAGGGTGCAGGCAGATACTATATATCTTATAAGATCCCAAGATAGTAATTAATGTATCTTAGCTTGGAACCCAGTGGATGTAACTTTAAAGCCTGCTCGCTGACCACTATCCACTGCCCTGCTCTGCCTTATCCTACAGGAAAACTAGGTCACATCCAGCTATCTGACACATTTCTTAAGGGGCCATGTTCAGAATAAGACAGGCTTAGGGTAAAGGGAGACCTCGAACTGTAATGCTCCCAGGGAGGTGTCTTGATAGATAACACATTCATGTTTTAGGATACTTCCACCACAAGGACTTCCAGAACAGTTAAGCTTAGAAAAGGCCTCATGTGCAGCCTTTCTTCTTGGAATTCCATAACTTGTTTAAAAGGAGGCTAAATTTTGCCTTGTGAAGCTATTTCACAGGTTAGGTAAGGAAATGGAAGCACAGAGAGTGGGTAGGACTTGCCCATATAACTATATGGCCAGAAAATTAAATGAGGTCAGAACCAAAGTGCAGGTATCTCTTGGTCTGCAGATATCATTCCACCCGTTCGTTTTCCCTACCCCTGTGATCAAGAGTGCTAGGGTCCCTTCCTCTCAGCCTTGGTGTCTTCTTTGTCTCTTTCTCAGCCTGACAGGAGCAGCGGCCACCAGCAGAAGGGCATCATTGTCCCAGACCTCAAGCTGGGCACCCACCCATGGATGCCAACCTGTAGTGGGTGCCAGAGGAAAGCTGGCAGCAGGCACTTCTCCCCCCACATCCCAGCCAGTGTCATATCCTCTGCAGGTGGAGTTACCAGTCTACCCATTCCCCATGCACCTTCCCTGTCTGCACTGCCCAGGCTAGGTGGCAGAGCAAAGGGGGTTCCCTACACTCTGCCTTCTCTCCCTAGGACAAGCCCAGGCTTGGGTTTTTTCTATAGTTTTGGAGGGGTGGGTGGTACAAGGAGGGGGACCCTGATAATAAAGAGATTGGATCCAAACCTTTTGTAAGATGGGCTGGTTTGTGTTTTCTCATCACAGTATCCTGGCCCTTCTGCTCACTAGAAAGGGTCTGATTCACTCTTCTTCACTTATCCCTCCCAGGGAACATTGTCTAGGGTGTCTAATACTGATTCATCTGGGCCTTAGTTTCCTCAATTAAAATGGTGATATGAATGGCCAGTAGGGCTGCTGGAGAGGGTTGGATGTGCTAGTACCCAGGAGTACTCTTTGCTAGCTAAAGTGCCAAGTAATTGTGACCCATTTGCTACCCAGTAGTACATCATGGCCTCATCTTTTCCTCATTTTCTCATTATCTGGTCTTTCCCAGCTCTAAAATGATTCTAGAATCTACTACCAACTTTGCCTTCTCTATCCTGCCTTAGCATATCATGGTTTTTTCACTTGGACTTTGCCTTCTCACTAGCTTCCCAATCTCCAGCTTCTCTCCTGAGCAATTTCCCACCACCCATCATAGTGTTTTTTTTTTTCAATAATCTTAATTGGCTTTATTTTGATTTCGAATTAGGCAATAATTCATTCCATAAAATAGAATGTTTCCATAAACAGAGTTGGTTACATGGACAGAGAAAGCCTGTGAAGAAAGCAAAAACAAAGAACCAAAGGTGGACTGGTCATTTCAGAGTTGTTTCCCCTCTTTTGGTCAGGCTCTCCCTTAGGTGAGAGTGTACCAAACCTTTAGGGTATTCTTGTTGCTTAAGTCACCATTATTTTGGGCTTCTGATCTCAGTACATCCTCATAGGTTATAGGGTCCTCATAGTCAGACATTTCTTTTGTTTTCACCATTCCAGCCCAAAAGAGACCATTGAAATTCGTCAGATGACTGTATGCAGTTAAAACTCCTTGGGAAGCTACAACCAGGATGACTACTATTATGACTAGAGAATAATATCAAAAGTTTGGAATTATGCTCCTTAGCCAGTCTCCATAAACCAAACCAGCTACATCGAATAGATCAGAGACAGATGAGAAATCTGTTTTAACGAAGTAGAGTCTGTTTATTCATTTTTGCAGTACCCAATGTATTTATCTATATGGAATGAGAAGTGTCAGCAACTGATCCCTTCCCTGTTCAGCTAGGTACTATCATCTAGCATCCCAGCAGTGGGTTAGGGCTGGGGGTGTAGCTTAGTGGTAAGATGCCTGCCTATGCTTCTATCCTAAGCACCAATTAGAAAAGAAAAAAAAAAAAAGAGGAATGGGATAAATTAAAGCAGGGCATGCTAACCCTATAAAATTATAAGACCATAGTATAGTTTTGAACAGGTGGTTGCACTATGGATGTTGCTAAACTTAACCCGGTCCATACGAGAGGTGGACTAAAGGATCTCTTAGGACCATAAAGATCTGGGTTTGACGTGACAGATCCAACACTCCATCAGGTCACCCATAGAAATTACTTATTGGGAAATTCTTGGCATACTGCAAAGCTAGAGAGGTAAGCATCAGCAAAGAAAAATTAAGAGGGTGGGGTCAGAGTCTTATGGTAGGGATTCTTGTTCCATGAGCTCCGGAGAAGTTGCTCACAGTGTGAAATCATTTTCTCATCTGGTGTGTAGTTTAATATCCCTGGCTGTGATCAGGCATTTTAGATGTCACCCACTAGGCACTTGGGGGTTCAAAGGGTAGCTTCAGGTGCCTTCACCCAGTGCCAGTTCAGCTTACCTGAAATGGCCTGCACAAAAGGCACGAGACTAATCTCTTGAAATGTACATTGAGTTGTCCGGCTTCAGTTTATAGGGCTTAAGGAACTGAGCAGTTTTTGTTCTTAATTGGAGAGTTATAGCCAGATATTATAGAAAACTAGATGAATCCAGAAACTAGTGCAGTCTATGCTAATCATAAAAACTTAAAAGCTGGGCTAGGGCTGTAGCTCAGTGGCAGAGCTCTTGCCTAGCATGCTTGTGGCACTGGGTTTGATCCTCAGCACCACATAAAAATAAACAAATAAAATAAAGGCATGCTGTCCATGTACAGCTACAAAACAATAACAACAACAAAAAAAACTCCAAAAGCAATGAACAGGGCTACAATCATTAGTAAGTGTACTGTATTTTTTTTTTCTGAAACATTTTTCTGTCTATAATCACCCCAGTTTTTTTTCCAAGTAATCACATTAAGATCAATTTGTTTGCACAATAGGTCTATTATATGCATAATAGACAGTAGGTCTGATAATATGCATAAGAATAGCCAGAATAACCACGGCTCTTTTTAAATTAGTTTGGTTGGAAATTTGACAAGAAACTTCAGATTGGACTTTTAAAACACCTTGAGACTAGAAAGCCAAACCAAGGCAGACTTCAGACTTATAATACCCTGTAATCTTTTAAAAATATCTTTAAAAAAATAAACACACACACACAGTTGTAGCTGGACACAATACCTTTTATTTTTATTTATTTTTATGTGGTGCTGAGGATTGAACCCAGTGCCTCGAATGCGCTAGGTGAGTGCTCTACTGCTGAGCCACAAACCCAGCCCCTTAACCTGTAATCTTGAGGGTTTTGGGCCTCCCAGGATGTGATGATTTTTACTCACTTGTTATAAAGCTGGGAACCCTTGAGGGCAGGGTTTCTATGGATATTCTTAAATATGGCATCCTAGTGACAACCAGTATTTTCAATTGTATCCTGTTATAAAAATAATTTTTTGAAGTTATGCAAATAACCATATTGCCATATAAATAAGTATACTCAAATATAGCTTCCAGATTCTGGAGGGGTCAGATAAGGAGAAAAAGTGAATGTTTGAATTTTCATTTACAAAAGCATATTTTATGAAATTATAGTAAACTATAGTTTGAAAGAAACTTTCCATAAATCTGGAAAGTGAACTACAAAAAGCAATGTTAAAAAGTAAAAACCTATAATTATTTTTCATCAGTTCATCAGTCTTGTTTAATTATACTGTTTGATTGTAGTCAGCAGTTTTATAACCCCATCAAAACTTGTGAGTTCTTACCAGATCCAAAGTTAGAAATCTGTGCTTGTTAGAGTTCTTTTCATCCTTTTCATGAACTCCTTGACAAAGATATAGCACTTCAATTTAACTATGAACAACAAAACTTAAGGTATCCATGACTCATGATCTGGTTAAAGTTTATCTCTGTGGTATATAGTAATTTAACATAACTAGAATCATGACTAATAGGACATACCAAGACACGTCAGATTTCTAGGAATCATACAATTTTCGGAGCACACATTAACAAATCCATACATCTGAAAAAGGTAAAGATCATTTTTTATTTGACAATGCTGCCTATATGATTTAGCAAATCGAAGTAAGCCTAATTCATCTCTATTGTACTTTCCCTCTGGAAATCCCAAAATAGTTCAAGTTCAAAAAGGTGTAGTTTTAGAATTTGAAGTGGGGAAGTTTGTCAAAAAACATCACAGGGATTAAATAGGATCAAAGAATCATTGTGAAATCAAAGTGACAAAAGATTTCAAGGGCACAAAGCACAATAAATTCTCATAGAATAGTAGGTCAGTTATCTAAAAAACTTGTAATTCTTAAGAGTAGATCTACACCTTAAGAAAATCTTGTTAGCATAGTTTTGCATCTGTGTACTTTTATATTAATGCCTAATTTTTGCAAAAACTTGTAATTCCCTTCTAACTTAGCCAACTGGATCTTACATAAAATTTCTTTTACAAGACTGATCTTCCACAGACAGACCTTCCAGAGTTTCCTTCAACCACTAGTCATTTTTCCCATACTTTTCTTCTCATACTGGAAGAACCACTCTTTTTTTTTCCCCCTGAAAAGCATCTTCATGGTCTATAATCTTCATGTGTTAACGGCCTGGTATATGGAGTTGTTTCCCACCTTATTTTTAGTTACCACCCATTAGAATTTAAGTCCTTAGCAAATTATGAATCAGTATTCTCTAGAATTTTCATAATTTCTAGAAAAAAGGTGCTCAGTCCTAACATTTTAAAAATATGGAATGGGACACATTTACTAAAAGACCCAAATATATTTAGCTTCTTTGTACTATATAAAAACCACGTGCCAAAAATACAAATTTTAAATGCTTAACAATTGATGTTTCAGTGTTTTAATTTTATTGAGAAATGACCCAGAACTTAATTTCCTTTTAAGGTTTCAAATTACCACCACTACCCTGACCAAAAAGAAAAGAAAAAAAGAAACTGGAGAGTTTATGCCATTTACATTTACCTGTTTTACTCTATTTGAAATGCTTTGGAAAACAAAACTAGCCATTGTCTTTATTACTATTTTTTGTTCTAACCAAAGCATATTCTGAGCACCCACATGGAACATAGAACAGTTACTAAGGGCAATGCCCATCTGGAACATTGGCTCACACACCAGATACAGAGGCTAGGTAGCTATGAACACAGTGCCTGAAGGCTCCAACCCTCCTGGCTTAGCCCAGGAGGCAGGACTAAGAAAATAGATGGGACCTTGCTGAGCCTGGCCCCACTCTTGAGGCTGGCAGTCCAGGTGCCATAGAAACATTCTTGTCTCCAAATTTCACCATGGCCACCTGTCCAGACCTCAGGGCCTTAAAAGCAAAAACATAATCTCAAAGCAAGATGGCTCCCACAGGGAACATAGCAGCTGCTCTTCACATTCTCAGCTCAACAACATGTCAGGCAAATATCAAAAATATCACAGAGGAGAGAGACTTAAAAAAACAAAAGGTTAAGTCAACATGTTTCCGTTTTACTCTTTTCTCTCAACTAACATCCATCAAGCACCTCATTCTCGTTCTGCTTGTCTGCGTCTGGACTGACCCTATAGCCTCATACATGTATACATGTGTATACACACACACACACACACACACAAACACACACACACACAACGTCCAATTAATTATTGTTTTAAACTTTTCCTTAAGTCAAATAGTTGTATCATGTATTTTGGTAGAAGTCTATCTTGTGGATATGGACAACACTGATAACACAGAAACAGACTAAAGCATGTGTGTGTGTGCAT